ACTACTGCTTTGGCATTGTCTGCTACCACAGGATTTGGAAGGGTATAAAAATCTACTATCGTTTCACCCAATGTATTTTTAGAACATTGAGGCTTGAGGACATGTCTATATCCACTAAGGTTAATGCCACACATAACTTTTTTTGTTGTTTCGTCTGCAAGATTAAGCTTTTCTTTTGAGTTTTGTTGAAATGCCTTAGGAATAACATAATGCTCTAGAGGTTTTTTCTGAGCCTCTGTCTGCTGATTATGTGCATGTAATATTTTTGCCCAAAGACGACGACAATGCCCTCTAAACTGTTTGTAGTAAGTTTTAGAGGTTGTAAAGTGTGCCCATCTTGCAAATTCCATCCATTGTTTACGTGTTGAATTGGTGTTAAAAATATTATTAGAATACAATTTATTAAAAATCTCTAACTCTAGTAAGTTTAGAAATTCCGTAGGTACTTCGGAATAGGATGGGATTGATTGGACACTTTGGGGTGGTAAAATTTTATCCATCACCGGTTTTGTATTAATATAAAGTTGATCCTCTCTTTGCCGTTTCTTTTCTAAAAGCTTCTCAAAAAATGTGAATTTTGGACTCATAAATACGGAAGATTGTGAATGATTAGTCGATTTAAGATCTCTCGCCAGAAAATCTTCAGATGTCCACAGATATTGGATATATTCTTGAGATTGCTCCTTTGTGGACAGACGTGTCATTCCTTGGGTTTTATGCTTGACCAAAATAAAAAAATAAGTTAGTTTATGGTGAAAAAATAATATATGGTTCTAAAAAAATATATTAATTCTATCCATTCGTCCAAGTGGATACATTCATATCATTCTACATGGTGTAGCCTGGTGGTTTAAAACCTGGGAAGTCTGTTGGACCTTCCTCACCTTGCATACGCCCCACATAGAAGAATGTCGATCACGCCTTAGAAACTATGAAAGGTAGAATACCTTATCGAAATATATGCTTATATAAAAAGTCAATTAGCTTACTTTCTGAGGATCATAAAATATGTTTATTTTTTCGATATGACTAGTTTCAGCATTGTAACTGGGACCCTCTTCAACGATCAAATGGTCTGGGTCTTCGACTTTGGCCTTTTTTATAATATGTAGTTCTTTTTTACGTAAGTTCCTTTTGGAG